CCGGTCCTGCAGCTTTATATCGATTAAATGGCGCAAGCTCTATGACTACATCATTCTCGTTGATTAATATTTCGTTAACCGCTGGTATATCTAAATGGACTCCGCAGCGTCCTTTTGCACCCGCTGTCAGTGTATTTTTAAAGAAGACTAAAAAGTGTTTGCTTTATCTTGGTTCGATGTGACTATGCCTCCTCCACTCATCTCCACGAAACACCTTCTATATTTTTATTGGCCTGCACGCGGATGTAAAACCTTTTGGAATTGTGCTCGGTCTGCCGTGCCAAGTTCCTTTCGTTAATATAGTTTCCCTCTCGTTGTTGGGGCTGTGCCTTGTTGCGGGCTTTCTTGTATTGACACTATGTCCGATGCGTGCCATACGTTCCATAGTTTCCTCAACATTTACGTTCTTCCAGCTTGGGCTTCCACCAAACTGGCCTCTGATTCCACACCTGGGGCGTAACGGCGCAAGCTCGTTTATAATTAGACAAATACCTACTTGGATCTTATGACATTTCTCTTTCACTATGGACTTCGGTGATTCTAGTATTCAGGTAACCTGCTCTTCTGCTTCACGAAAGGCCACCTCATTTATACGGCTATAGCGTCGTACCAGTGAGGCTTCCGGAAATTTATGCTTTTTCGTTAACAGGAATCTCAACACCAGATCCTTTTTGCCCAGTGGTCCTTCTACTTGTATTTCGCTTACATCTGACGCGTTCCTTGTTATAACTAGATCCAAAATGGAGGGCCTCTGTTGATCTCTGAATTTTGTTGCCTGCATAACCTTTTGAATCAACGGGTGGGAGTGTATCCATTCGAGAAGAGTTTCACCTCTAGACCCGCTAGTCACACCTTCCATTCAGTCGATCTCAGAGAGGTCGACGTCTCCAACTTTTAGGACCATTTAGGACTTCGAAAAGAACGCTTGCATGATTCAAAGCAGTTCACTGTCCTCGATCTTGCGGGGCTCCGTGCACAGAATATACCTAATGGTCTTCTGCTTAAGAACACGTTGCAACACCGCCTTGATATTTGGTGTGGCTAGGGAGACTTGTGCATTCCAGCGGTTGATATTAATTTTCACCAGTAATAACACTCCACCTCCTTGTCTGCCATCCTCACTATCCTGCATTTAGGCTGCATAATTACTAGGGAAGTTAGTGGCATGCTCTTTCTGCATCCATGTTTCTATGATCGCTTGGGTGTCCTCGTAAATATTCCAGGCTAGATCGTATAAAGAAACGACCATCTAGGTCTAGGAAGAAAGTGAAAAAGAGAGTTAGCGATGTCATAAAGCTATCAGAAATGAACTCACTAAATGCCCTTAAAAGGGTGTTCATAGTGGGAGTATAAAAAATTCTGAAACGGGTAGGCGGTACCCAGAAAGACCGATAGTCGTCCAATTCAGATCAGCATGCTCCGCTCGTTAAGACACGTATTACGCACAATTTCAGTTTGCAGAACCGTTAACCATGCATATTCGTGCGCCGGCTTCGGTTGCTGTCTTTTGGCTTCCATTGGGATG